CAAGAGTTCGAATCTCACCAGCAACAAAATTCGAATTTAAAAAATGTGTTACAGCAGACTGTATATAAGCTGATGGATTATCGGATCTGTAGCTTTGGTCATATCAGCTTGTACTGAAAGAATGTGGAACTATAGTGTGATGCAAGAGTTATATGAAACCCAAAGTAAAATGTTTATATAAATTCAAGAGCTGGGGCATACAGAATCCCACTTGGCAAATCTCAAGTAAAGAGATAACACAAATCTTCGACAGTACTACATAAAGGATGATCATTGATAATCAGACACCGGCAGTAAACTGGATGAGGATTGGGTGTTTGGCAAAACACTAATACCAACCAGGCAGAGTATATATGGGAGTGCCCTGTATAGACGAGAAAAAAGGATTCAATCAGAATACAAAAAAATGGCTATTAGTCCCTTTCTAGGCTATCTAGATTGGAAGTTTGGACACTGTTGGTGAAGGAAAGTTGGTGCTAGTCTATAAAGTATGTATTGGGGTTTGGGTAAACTCTACAAGGGCAAAAGTAGGTAATGGTAGCAGCTTTGGCTCACAAGTACTTGTTCTCAGACTTGGTGTAAGTTACTGAAGTTTAAGTTGACCAGATTGTAAGTACAGAAAACTCTAGTAGGTTTACTTCAAGAAAAAGGAACCTATAGGTAGGTCTGTTTTAAAGTTCTAAGTTGAAGATTTGAAAATAAGGAGGTACTAATGTATCTTCGCTTAGTTAGAGGATTAATGTATATAGACGCAGAGGGTTTAAATGGGTAATTCGGTAGAGTTATAGGTATAGCAGCTAGTGTAGAACTTAGTAATAAGGAACTATTTAAATAGACAACCAAAAGTTGCACATGTGGCTAGTTGTACTTTTCAAATATGTGTATGGTATGATGTATACTATACTGTAAAAGTTAACAATAATTGAATAAAAGGACAGCAACCAAGAGGTCACCTTAAAACCAAAAAAAAAATAAAAATAAAGACAAAACCTCACCTTAAAAAAAAAATAAATAAATAAAAGTAAAAGTTGATTATTGGATAAATATATATGTATTTTGTTTGGAAAATAGTTAATTAAAAGGATAATATTATTATTGCTGTTTTTGAAATAGATGAAAATGACAATTTTTGGTGAACACATGAACACATATGAACATATATGAATACATATGAACACATAAACACATGATTACTTTGATTACCTTAACATATTGATTGCCCAATTTACGTGATTGTTTAGTGAACAATTATATAAGTGTTGTCAAAAGAAAACCTGACAATCTAAAAATAGATCACACAGATCATTTATGAATTTCATAAGTGATCTATGTGATCTATTTTTAGATTGTCAGGTTTTCTTTTGACGACACTCATATATGCTCATATGTGTTTATATGTTCTTCAAAAAACAAAATTATTTGTCAGTTTCATCCATTTCGAAAACAGCAATAAATTTGTAATTTTTTAGATATTTTAAAAAGGATCTAAGTGTTTGGTTTTAAGATAAAGTATAATAACTTAGTATAGTTGGTAAGTTATTGCATCTCTAAATAGCAGAACAAAGTTCAAATCTCATTAGCAACGAAATTCAAATTTACAAAATGCATTCTAAAAGACTATAATTCATTAGGTCTGTATCTGTAACATAGTTGTATATGTGAAATCAATTAAATGACTCACAATTAGTGATCAAATTTTTCAAATTTTGGAGTATTTTACAAATTCACCGTAATTCTCAGATCTCTAAAAAATCAACTATATGATGAACTTTTTGTTATTCACTTTTAATATACTATTATATTTTTGTTTGTTCAACTTTAAATAAATAACATTAGTTTTACCAATTATTACAATAAACCTATAAATAGTCATACCTGAGTTATATCTTTACTGAGCTAGGGATTGAAACCGTTTAACCGTTTAAAAATTGGTCCATTGTTCTGGGCGGAATTATGTTGGTCATGAGCTGGAATGATTTTAATGCCGGCCAAATTAAACGGTTAAACGGTTAAAAAGGGGTTATATTTCCCAGGTACGATCATATACAAAGATTCACCGTAATGATTGTAGCCGATTTGATAAAATCAACTTAGTCAACTAAGTCAACTTTTTAAAAATTCGATTCTTGGCTATGTATATACCATCCCCCAGATTAGCACCCTGGTATATTTCAATACTATCGCGTGAAAATTTTGACTTGGCTTGCAAGACTAGCAATATCTAATAAAAGCGAACCTCTGCCTAAAGATCGGTTTAAAATACCTCTGAATTGTACCCTCCTCTTCAGTGTTTGGCAAATGACAATATCATAATGTCATATGATATGCTTGCGTGTTATAGAAACATATAATTCATATGTCATATGATATAAAATCATGTCATATTATTATTATATATCATCTCATTATTGTGATATGACAATTCATATAAGTCATATGAGTCATACGATATCATTATCCAACACTGCTCCTCTTCGCATAAACCCTCAGGTACAAATTAAGTTAATTATAACGATAAAATTAGCACATCTCATTTCTGCGTATGTACGTACTTACTGTAGTCCGTACTAGGGTGTCCAGAATTCTGCAATTTTTATCCGCACGGATAGCCTGGCCAGCACTATCAATATTATTTGACAAGACAATTGTCAAGTATTATTTCGGGCTAACAATAAGCTACGTCTCAAATTCTGCAAATTCTACGAGTTCAAATCATTAAGCAAATAAAAATACGCTATTTAACTACGGATTCAGAATTCTGGACACCCTAGTCCATACGTACATTAACGTTAATTAACCGAAGGTAATACACTGCATATACGCAATTATATTAATTATATTTCTTGCATTTGGTAATAATTAGTAATAATTACTGTCACATGCAAGTCTGTACTAGCTAATTCTGAGAGTAAACTAAAGAAATGTAATACAACTTTAGATAATTTATAACGGTGCATGTTACTTTGTAAATGTCCAAAACCAAACCATTTTAACAGGACAAAGACACTTCAATTGTGGCGTGACATTTTGTTTTTGAAATTCCTTCATTGTCCGACGTAAATTCGGCGTTTTATCCAAAAGAAAAATGTGAAATTCCATCCTTTAACTGATGTGGTGAGATCCATACAAACTTAATAAATCGGTTCTCAAACATAAAATTTTTGAAAGTGACCGACTTTTAATTTTATTTTCAAAAAATTTTATGTAAAAAAACATAAAATCTTTTACCCGCCCGGATAGTAAATATACTTCTAAAGCTTTGTAAAATTTGAAAATTTTGACTCGGCCGGGTTATGAGAACCGATTTATTAAGTTTATATGACCCTTATTTATCGTTATTTTTCGAAAATTTTTTTAAATTATTCAATAGATGTAAATTGTTTTAACGCGACACTAATACGTAATAAAAGATATACTTTACACGATCGGTCTACGCCATGGTACGTACGTACGTACCCAATTGAAGATATTCAATTTCCTTTTTAAGTAGCCTTATCGCCACATGCCAGATTAAACATATTATATACATACATAAGTACGTGATTCGAACTCACACTTTCAGCATAAAACCTTTTTATCATAAGTTTGCCTCATCATGAGCACTGCACAAGGAGCGGATGAGGGACAGGCTATTCCGATCCCAGACGTTGATAATAATACCGGAGTTGTAAACCCCGCGGAGCCTGCATCGGAAGAAGTTAGCGAAACCAAAGCCCAGGAGAAAATTGACGAGGCGGAAGTTAAACCTATACAGGTAGAAAACGCAGTCGAAGATAAGAATGAAAAATCCGAGGAGCCCGAGAAAGTTGTAGCTAAGGCCGATGAAGTTACAACGAATACCGGAGAGACTACAAACAAATCTGAGGCAACTGTAGCTGACGTATCAACTGAGGAACCTAAGACGGAAGTTCAAACTACAGTTGAGACTACTACCGAAGTAACAAAGACTACTGAAGATGCAGAGAATCAAACTAAAACAGAAATTAAAGAGACTGAAACTAAGACCGAAATTACTAGAGAGGTGATTGATGTAAAAGATCAACCAACAGAAACTTCAACAGATACAACTCAAGCAGATATAAACAAACCTCTTCCAGAAACTCCAGAACCTTCAGAAACTCCAAATCCTCCAAAAGCTCCGTCAAAAAGAAAGAGCTTTCTTGCGAAGGCTAAGAACTTCTTCAGCAAAAAACAATAATCTCATACTGTTACGAAGTACATATTTATTTTATTTTCTTTTTTTTTCGACAGCAAATATTGATCAAATTATCAATCATTTTATTCATATTGATTTATTGTGTTGTCGCGAAATAATGTCCGATTATTTCGGAATAGTGCCTAAGTTATTTCATTTTTTTGGTGTTCTCAATTACGTAACTAAGGTGGTTTATCTACCTCGGTTCACCACGTATCATGGTTTGCGATAAACCATGACTGAGACTGGGAAGCTTGGATGACATATCACGAATATTTATATTATTTATTTCTTTTAATTCTATGATGCATTATTTATTTATTCTTAATTCTAATTGTGAAAATGTATAAAAGCAATATCTTTTTCTGTCTCAATAAAGTTCCGGCTTCAATATCTTGGATATAAGCCGTTATTAAGAATTGGTTTCTCAAGTACTTTAGTGAATTGATGCAAGTGACTTGTAGTGATGTCATTAAATTGAAAATGTCGCATGTACTTAATTGGTATTTTGTATACTTATTTCGAAATCAAATTTCATGATTTTTTATATTATTTAGACCATACAAAGTTAATTCGTTTTTCGTAACATTAAATTTTTGATCATCGATCTTTTTTTTTTAAATCTTAAATCTAAAATTTTCCTAAATATCCACCCAGTTATAAAAGATTTTCAAAATTTGATCCGCCCGGGTTATTTAAAAAAAAATCTTTCTTTATATGGCTTTATATAAGGCCATACAAAATTAATTTTTTGACATTAAATTTTAAAAATGACCCGGCCGGCTTTTTTTAAAAAATTTTATATATAAAATTTCATAAAATTTTTAAAAAATTTTTTTTGAAACCCCATCCGGCTTTTAAAACATATAAAAATTTTTCTTCAAAAGTTTTCAAAATTTGACCCGGCCGGGTTATGAGAAACAATTAATTAACTTTGTATAGCCTAATGTATATGCTGCGAAATTTTTAAAGGTTACTTTTATGTATATTCATGCTATGGATTGGAACTCTAAATAATTTTTAGATATTTAAATTGTTTTAATTTTTAACCTATAAAAATATTTCAAATTATATAGAATGATTTTAACGTTCACTGGAGGTGACATTCATCAGATATGCTGCTTCTCAAAAACGGATTCAGTAATCGATATTTGGTATGCTAAGTAAAAATGTTTAGCATTTTAAAAAACTCTAACTTTTAATTTAAATCTTAACTCTAAAGTTTAATTAAAATTTGATTAAACATATGGGGGGGGTGCTAGTAGAAACCAAGCAAGTTGTTTTTAGTGTGTTTTTTTAAAATTTTAAATTAAAATATCTCAACAACTATTAAACCA